GTGTGGAGCAGCTAGTTGTTGCGCTGCGTACCTAATTGTCTCCGTCACCTGGACATTCATACCAGGTGCGCTGGTAAAAGGAAATCTTGGTGGCGCTGGCATACCGCAATCAATAGTGCACCACGTGCGCAGATCACTCACGTCAATCTTAGATTCGCCGCTGTCTTCACTGTCGGTGTCTGAAGACAAATCGCCACATGAGTCGCTATCGCTCAATTCAAGTAGCTCCTCATTGTCGCTGTTTGCTAGCTCACCATAAACCGCTTTGGCGCTAGCGAGACACTTTTTGGAAGCCATGAGTGCAAAACCATTTTTAGTCAAAGAAACCGAAAAAACTGCACTATGGAAATATCTGAGGTAAAGTTACAATGTATGCACTAGAGCAGGGGTGGCTAACCTGTGGCTCTCCAGCTGTTGTGGAACTACATTTCCCATGAGGCATTGCAAAGATGGAAAGTTACTGACTTGCAGAGGCATGATGGAACTTGTAGTCCTGCAGCAGCTGGAGAGCCGCAGGTTGGCCATCCCTGCACTAGAGTAACACTTTATTCTGATCTATTTTTATAACTCCTGCAAGCCCCGCCCCCCCGACGGCACGGCTGGCTCACGCTGATCACACTGATCAGCGTGAGATACCAGGGAAGCAGGGAAGGAGACTGGGGATGGACAGAGGGGATGGCTGCATGTGGCTCAGGACCCGGGACAGGGATCGCAGGGACCAGGTACTTAGTTTGAGGTGAGCCCGAGTCTGGCTCAGAGCTACCACTTTTGACAGCTAGATTTAACCCTGAGCCAGACTTGGGAAAACCGCTAGGGAGGTTAATCTCCTTCTCAAGAGAATAAATTCAGTTCCTCTAATATTTCCTCATAGCTGAGCTCCTCCATGCGTCTTACCAGTTTGGTTGCCCTTCTCTGTACTTTCTCCAGTTCCCCAATGTTCTTTTTGTGATTTGGTGCCCAAAACTGAACTGCATTTTCCAGATGTGGTCTTAGGAATGATTTGTACAGGGGTAATATGATCTCTCTCTCTCTCTCTCTCTCTCTCTCTCTCTCTCTCTCTGGAGTCTATACCTCTTTTAATACAATGAGGATTTTGCTCGCTTTAGAAACCGCAACTTGGCATTGCATGTCATTATTAAGCTTGTGATCTACCAGAACTCACAGATCCTTCACCATTGATTCCCCCAAAACAACAATGGTATATGAGGCAGAACTTCCTAATGGAGGGGAGCAAAATCTGATTTTTCAATGGACCTTTGATGGTTTGAGCAAAAATTTTTCACCTGGTTTCTACAAAGTGATGCAGTTGCTGTTCAGATATTCAGTATCAGCGGCTGCCTGTCCTGCTGGCAGCTGAAAACATTAGCCAGCAGGGTAGATACATTAAGCAGCCCATAGCTTGATTGCCCCATTAACACAGTCAGTATTGATGGGGGAATCCCTCCCACAGCGCTACTGTGTTCTGCAGGTGGGCAGCCTTCCCGACTGACAGAACACAATGCTCACTGCTGGCAGCTATAGCCACCAGCTGTAATCAAATGTAAAGATTCGATCTATCTATGGCCGGCTTTAATCCATGCTTCTGGTTGCATGAAAGAAATCAAAAGCTGTGTATACACTATTAGAATTTCATTCAACATTTTTCATTGTAAGAACATTTGTTTGTTTTCTAATCATTAGTGGGGTCAACCTGAAATACATTTTGGACCACAGTAACAAAAACAATTCGAAGGAGCAGGATAGAAAATTTTTCCCAAATGTATGAATTTGTAACAGTGTATGTAATTTCCATTCGATAAAGACCATTAATTCCAAAATCGAATGTTAAAATCAAATGAAATCTTTAACGACATTCAAATTCTACTAGTGTATACCCAACTTTAAGGTGCATGGTTAGCTTAGTCAGTGTTTTATCAATATGTTGTATTCTTTATTCAGCCCTTAAACTGGCCATAGATGGTTCGAATCTCAGCCAATTCAGCAGGGATACAAGGGCAGGCTGAATGTACCCAAGTTGATCGATCGATCAACTTGGGTACAACCAGCCTGCTGGATTTTACATGCAATAATTGCTAGCCAGGAGCAGTAATCACTGTAGTCTCCTCCATTGGGATAACACAATGGCTCTGCAGGAGGGATTCCTCCATCAACACAGACCTATGGTTGCAGGAAAGAAAATTGCTCTGTCTATGGCCAGCTTTGTTTTGTATTTATTCTTTCTGTCTTAAGATACCTTTCCACTGGACATTGCACAGAACTAAAAAAGAGCCTGTACTTTGTATCTGTTTCAGTGTAAAAAACACAAACAGTTAGGATGAAAAACTGCCGCATGTATTTTTTAATTAGTAAAAAACAGAAAGGAATAAAAATGTAATGCTAACCTTCCAATGGACAAGCAGGCACATATGTGCCTAACTATGCAAATTAATGTCAGAAGTATCTGCCAGCCAAAAAGCTTTTGTGTCCTGATTTGTGATATATTAAATACAAGTAGGCATTTTGATTAGGTACGCTTGTCTGGTTTAGGACAAGTGACAAAAGAAAAAAGTGTTTGTGTTAAATCTGAAGAAAAAGGTAGAGTCGTTGAATAAACTCCTACACACAAAGAGAGCCCTTGTTTTTTTTCACATGCTCTTAGCTGAACGAATTGTGGGTTTTGGTCATTTGGAACATAAGAAAGAATAAGCAGTGGCATTTCAGGATAAGGTACATACAGCACAATCCCTGAGTGCCACATGAAGAGGGACAGTGCCAGGGAGTACTTGGGTGTGCCATGGCATCCTCAAAAAATTCTGCTTGCACTCCCAGCAATTTGATAGATCAAAGCACCCTTATTTTAGTCACCATTCACACTTGAGTATTCCCTATGCCTGACTACGCTCAACAGGTAGAATACCATTTTTCTAATTGTCCCTGTTTTTACTTGTATGATCAGCTATCCTACTCTCAAAAATAACATAAGCTTTTTTAAGTATATTCAGGTATTTTTGGCCCCATATACTTAATTGGGACTACCTGTAATGCTTGAAGAGTTGTTCTGCTGTAGAACTGCTCTTCTCCCCTTTCCCAACCCAGGGAACAAACGCCTAGAATTTGCAAAAATGGTGTACATCTGTAATACGCCTGTACAAGGCCTGAAAAACACCCGAAAAAAGCTTCAAAATAAAAAATACATTAGGCCTGAAGATTGGTTAAAATCCCAAACCATTCAGGTGTGCACATAGACTACAGTAAAAGAGAAACAATCTCATTCACATTTGGAAGAAAATAAAAGGATTGTGGAAATAAATCTCAAATATGGGAAAATGTAAATTCTACTGTGTGAAGTCTGTTTTGGGATTATCACTACTGTAAAGCACACCTAAACAGACATTTCTGACTTTTTTAGTAGCTTCATATGTATATAATGGGTGTAGTGTAGTATTTAAATGACAAAAAAACATACAATCGTGGGTGGGCCTATAGCTAGGCAGAGTAAAATGTCTAGGCATTTTGGGGGGGCAGTAAAATGTTACATTTATTTCTTTTAGTAATAATAAATATACAGAGCTACACTGATTTTTCTCAGGAATGGTGGTTTATAGCATGGAAACTCTACCCACATTCCATGACGTCTTTATGGATTGCCCATTTTTCACATGGATATTCTACAAATACTAGTTATTTGGACACATAAACATTTGCCTTGAATCTGTGGTTACTCAAAGGTTAATATAAAGTAATATGACTAGGAGAGAACAAGCCAGTTACCTAGGAAAGAGCAGACATAATATTAGTGTCATGATTTAAAAAAAGAAAATATTTAATCCTCTTAACTGTCATTTTATCAGTTTACTTTCTGGGTTTTTTCTTTAGTGACACATTTCTGCGATTTGACCCAGTGACAAGCATGCAATGAGAAACTGTTATTCTGTGCTTTACCTTTTAAGCTGGCTATACACTAGTAGAATTTTGTTCAAAATCTTTCGTTTTAAGAACAATTTTCTAATCATTAGCGGGTTCAAATCAACATTCGTTTTCATCCACAGTGAAAATTTGAAGGAGTGGGATGGAAATGTTTTCTTGTTCAAACGGATTTGAACAGTGTATGTGATTTTCATTTCTTCTAATATCCTAATGTTAATAGCAAATGAAATGTTGAATATAATAATACTTTCATAAGACATTCATCGAGTCATCGAATGTACTGAGATTCTCCATACAAATTTTTGTAAGAATTGTCATTTGAAAATCTGCTACTGTATGGCCAGTTTTACTCTCACCTACCAACTGCTTTGATAAAAAGGAAAACCCTTCAGGCCCTTGAAATAATACTCCATTCAAAAATTACGTGCTTGGTGGATTGGCCATGTTTTCATTTAATACATTAAGCTGGATATACACTACTAGAATTTAGTTCAAAATGCTTCCTTTTAAGAATGTGTGTACTATTTTCTAAACATTAGTGCAGTCAAATTGATGTTTATTTTTGACTGCAGTGATGAGAAAATTCAAAGGAGCACAATGGAATTTTTTTTTTAATAATCACATTTCTAACAGTGTATGTAATTTTCGTTCAACAAAGTCCATTTGTTCCAAAATCAAATGTTAAAAGCAAAGGAAATTCAAACAACATTCGTCAAGCCATTAAATGTACTGGAAATTTTTGTATGAATTTTTGCATGAATATTCACATTAATGTTCGTTTGAAAACCTATTACTATATGACATGCTTCAGTTCAAATGTTTTATAATTTGTAGAATTAACATACAAGTCTAGCCAAAACTGTTTGTTATAATTTTATAATAGAGTGGGGAAGGAATAGAACCCCAACTTAAGGTGACCATATATGATTAAAAAACAATACAATCCTTACAGCTGGGGTAATATATTCTGACAGTGGGGATCATTTAGGAAAAAACCTGACAGGCTAGCTGTACACAAGTCAATCAATAGATCGACTTCTGTACAACCAGCTGACTCATCCATGGATCGAAATTTGGCTGGTCCCTACCAGGGGCGGACTGACAACTCATGGGGCCCCCGGGCAATAGGGATCATGGGGCCCCTGTGTCCTTGCCCAAACTCAAAAAAGTCTCTGAAAAAGGTACCAGGGGCATCTCATGGGGCCCCCTACTCACCTCGGGGACTCGGGCAGTGCCCGAATTTCCAAATGGTCAGTCCGCCCCTGGTCCCTACTGAAGCAGTCGAATTTTGATCCATGTATGACCCACTTTATTGGTGACAATGGTATCACCTGACAAGAAGCAAGGGCTAGCCTACAAGAGAAACATAGACAGCAATAAAAAAACTTAACAGTGATTCTAGCCTTCCACTAAAGCTACAAAAAGAGAGGTACCCCCTAAAACAATTATCTGCCCCACAAGTGCAAAAATAATACAATAACACAACAAATTGTAAGTCACAAAACACCATACATTTGTAGAAACACCCCACAGATATAACCCATAGAATTAAAAACACTGAGTGACACCAAACCGGGTCAGTAAATAACATACATAAAATGTATTATATTTCCAGCTGAACACTATACATTTTCTGTGTAAACACATTACGTGTTAACAGAATACAAAAAAGACAAAAATACATAATTATATTTGCAAAGTGCCCAACACCACCTAACTCAAAAGTCCACTAATATTATGTTCTTGCTTTAAAGGGTTGAATAAAGTCTGAGATGACTTGCATAATGTAGAATGAGGCAGTGTGTAATAACGAATGTACAAGAGACTGCTAATGTATGGAATAAGGTATGTACATCACATTGTATGAAATGAGGTCATGCGGAATAGGGAATGTACAGCACAGTGTACAGAATGAGGCAGTGTGGAATAGGGTATATACAGCACAGTGTACAGAATGAGGCAGTGGGGAATAGGGTATATACAGCACAGTGTACAGAATAAGGCAGTGTGGAATAAGGTATGTACAGCACAGTTGCAATGCGGAGGTGTGAAATAGGGTATGTACAGTGCAGTGTACAGAATGTCAGTGGTATAAAATAAGCAACAAAATGCTGATATTCCTTGAACACTGTACCAAATACAAGAACCCCCTCCTTCCCTGTAAGGCAACAACAGTGTGGGTGAGGGGTGATGGCACTATTGTGGTTGCATGGGGAACTATGGTACTGTGATAATGCCACAGACCCCCCTCCCTCATGTAGTCACCAAAGCACTTCAGACCACCCATCCATTTCAAGGCACCCAGTGGACCAGACTCCCCATTTCTCCCCAGCTAAAACAAACAGCTTTTTGAAAGAAAAATTATGCCCCCAACTGGCCAAGGAAGACTTGAATACATTAATCCTTAATGAAGATTCCTCACCAAAGTGCAGCTGTACTGCAAGATAATCTCTTTCAGTGACAGAAATTACATCCTCTCTTGAATGCTGGATTGGGCTGTGCCACATCATTGGCTGCCTTTGGTCGTTGGGGCCTTAGGTGGAAACTGCAGGGAGAGAGACATGGAGATAACAGGCAGCCCTGGCTGACTCAGATCCCCAATGTGTACAGTTAGTGAGTGCACAGTGGGCCTCATCCTCCTTGGGGTCTCTGTGCACTGCATGCACTGCACACATTGTTATTCCAAGATCAATGGAATATAATCAAACAGTGAAATAGTGACTAGTAATGACAAAAGACTGTACATGTATTTGTCACTTCATTAGAAACAATGTTGCTAAAAAGGGATTCTAATTCTTCTCCACTTTATCCAAATTACAAAAAAAATGTCTTGACTTGGCTTACAGGTTAATTCTATAAGCTATATAGCTATAACCACTCGGTGGTGTAGTGTGGAACTCATGCATAACAATAAGAATTTCAAACAACTCCATGAGCATGGCTACCACCAGGATAATCGTAGCAAGTTTCCACGTAATACTGGATGTCCATAAAGCTTCCAGGATAGTGATATACTGTACCATCCATTAAATTACTCAATCTTTCAAAAACAAGTTCATAAACGTTTCTTTCCCCCGTGCCCCCTCCCCAGACTTTTTCATTGAGATTAATAGAACTATTCTCCTCCCCTCATAACAGGGTGCTAGGTGTAATCGTGGATCCTGCCCTCTCCTATCAGCCCCCATTCAAATTTTGCCACATTATCCTTCATAACATTTACAAAATGTGACCATTCTTAACCAATGATACCGCCAAGGTATCAATTCACTCTATTGTTATCTCTCGCCTTGACTACTGCAACTCCATCCTGGTTGGCCTACCAATGTACAGACTATCCCCCCCCTTCAGTCTATCGTGAATGCCATTGTCAGACACATCCACTATACCAATCGCACATCGTGTCTACCACCCCTCTATGCCAATCCATCTACTGGCTTCCAATTGCCCAACTAATAAAATTCAAAAATTTAACAACAACCTACATAGCCATCCACAACTCTGCTCCCAGCTACATTACCAACCCTATCTCAAAATATCAACCAAACCATCCAATTTGTTCCTTGCAAGACTTCCTCCTCATAGACATCCGTGTCACAACCTATGTTGAAGTCCAGAGCCTCTCCCTTCCTCTGGAACTCCTGATCCCAACGTGTACAGCTATCTCCTACTGTCTTTTGCTGATCCCTGAAAACTCATTTCTTCAGGGAAGCCTATCCCACTTCTTGCTAGCATCTGAATCTTAAGCCGGCCATAGACGGAGTGATTTTCTTTCCTGCAACCACAGGTTGACTGTGTTGATGGGGGATCCCTCCCATGGAGCCATTGTGTCCTAAGGGTGGGGGGAGCCATTCCCTGCTGGGAGAACACAGTGATTACTGCTAGCGGCGCATGTAAAATCTGACAGGCTGGTTGTACCCAAGTTGATCGATCAATCAACATCCAGCCTGCACATACCCCGTTTGAATCTCGACCGGTCCTTGCTAACCCAGCCATTCGAAAAATATATGGCTGGCTTTATTTTCTTGAACAACTCATCTCCACATAATTACTAACTATTATATTACTTCAACATACCTTTAGATTGTAAGCACAAGCAGGGCCCACAAAACCCCCTTGTTTTGAACTGTCACTGTTTTGTCTCCCTTTATTTTTTTAAAATGCCAAAAGTTGGCTCTATAAATACCCTGTAAAATGATAATAATGAAGTTGAGTGCTGTCAGAGGATTGTTTTGACTGACAAGAGATATGGTCTTGAGGTGGATTCTAATGCATTTTGGCAGGGTGGCAATGTATGACAGGAGGTGATAAGAATGTTTGCTTGGAGCTCTAGGCACAGAAGACATATTGTAGATCAGAAACCTTGTCTGATTTTTCTTTTGTCTATGATAAAGAAGTGATGAAAGAGATAATATAGCACTAAACAGAGCAGGCTTACATTCAGTACTGGGGAGATTGCACTGAATGATGGATTTACAGTATATTGTGTACGCGTAGAGATATTACTATTTTGTAGACATTGTTTTTCCATGTGTATGATCAGCTTTAACTGTGCCTTAGATTAAAGGTTCCCGAGCTAAGAAATGTGTCATGCAAGATGATATCACTATATTCCATTTTTTTTAAAATAAATAAAACAAAGTTTTGGAATAGATTTGATGTGAAATAAAAGCTAGGGACAAGGCTGATATTTTGTGGATGCAATAAATTCTCAGGTTTTAGAGGATTTGTTTCCTGTGATTAATTTGGTGCCATATGCTAAACAAACTTGGAAGTATAATCCAATTTTCTTTTAAAATGCAAAAAAAAAAACCCAGTATTTAGCTAGCAAAGAAGTGAGAGTGTCAGCAGCTACTGCTTGATGAACTTGACAATGAAGTGTTAATGGATGGGTGTTTATCAGTCCAGGTAATTACCCTGGTCTTGTCTCCTCCTAATGAGTCCTGGGAGACAGGCATCTCTGTTTGATTATCAGGACAGGTGTCTACAGCGCTCCACTCATAGTGAACAGTCTATGCATATCCAAGACTTTTTATGTTATCTCTTTAATGTGAGGCTAATTAATATAGTGCCATGTGTGTAACAGTATAGCCAGCTTGTTTGTGCCAGACTGCTACAGTAATATAACGTCTGCAGATTTGCAGGAAGAGACACTTAACTTTGTCCATGCTCAGAACTCAGTTATATATTTTTAAAAACAAATTAACGTTTTATTCCTGGATCCAACGTATACTGTGCACTCCAGTGAAAAACACAACTGTCACTGCTACTGTAGCTAAAGAAAAGACCTTTTCAGTCTCTGTACTAGAAATATGAGTTACAGAAAATGATATACTAGTGTTGCAGTGCATTTTTTGGTATGATAATATTATTATTATTATTATTATTATACAGGATTTATATAGAGCCAAAAGTTTGTGCAGTGCTTTACAAAATGAATGCAGACATTACAGTTACAATACAATTTGGGCCCTGCTTGTTAGATGTTAACCATTAATGATGAAAACTAGCCATCTAGGAATTATTAGGATTTTGATGATAAGCCACTTGACATCCAAAAATTCTTCCCAAATGTATATGCAAAACTTGCCACACAAATGTATGTCTATTAACATGTCACATAAATGTATGTCTATTACTGAATTTGTGTATGAGTATAGTCAACTACCGATCCTGAAAAAGCTGTGTTATACCGTGAAACATGACGAGAATAGGGAGTTAAAGTGAATATTAGTTTGAATCTAGACTTATATAGAGTATAATTTAATGTTGTATTTCAAGTTTCATATATATATATATATATATATATATATATATATATACTTTATCAACAATTATTAATTTTTGTTACAATTTAATCATGGAATATTAAAGATTCTGACTTTAGTATATATATGTTATGCTGTAATTATGGTTTACACTATTTCTCATTGGAAGATAGGTGCTTTTGATTTATAATTCTCTGGCAGGGTACCTTTTGAAGAAGTAATGAGGTTCTGATCTAAATTGTACTTTTCTTTTCTTTCTAAAATGTATTTTATGCAGTCAAATGCATGCATTTTATCATGGGAAAATGGGTGCGTCAATAATCTCTGGAGTTGATAATGCATGGATTTTTGTGCATTAACGTTGGCTGTGTTAAAGCATTTCAATTATTTGGAATGGACTGGAAGTGCAAAGTACTGTGGAGCCCTGTAGGGCAGATATATTATGGTCTA